AGCGAAGAAGAGACAGCTGCCACTTGTCCGAAACCCTGAAGGGGATGTATGCAGCAGCCCTTCGGATGCATTGGCCACATGGATACAATTCTTCCAGAATATGGAGGGTGGCACCAGAATGACCATGCGAACTTTGCAGGACTTGTGGAAAGATGAGATTGCTGACCTCCAACAAGAAGAATATGACGGTGCACTCGCTGACCTTCCAACTCTCACTGACCTTGAGCTTGCACTCCGGCGCATTCCAAGAGGGAAAGCGAGAGGACCAGATGGCATACCGGGTGAGTTGTGCCATTGGCATCCTTCAGCCATTGCTAGGCTCCTCTACCCACAGCTGCTCAAGATCTTGATACATGGGCATGAGCCCTTGGCCTTCAAGGGTGGACGATTGACGATGGTATACAAAGGCCGTGGACCAACCGATCAGTGTTCCTCATATCGTCCTCTGCTCATATCAAACCATCTTGGCAAAGCGATCCATCGAACTCTCAGAGTTCATCATGCGCAGATCTATGAGGCCTTTCTACAAGCCCAACAGACAGGTGGGAGAAGGCATGTCCCGGTCCAACTACCCCTCCACCAAGCCAGAGCCTTTGTACGATATGCCAAAAGAAGCAACCAGTCATCTGCAGTGCTGTACCTTGACTTGAAAGAAGCCTTTTACCGCATTGTCAGAGAAGCACCCCTTGGAGGTGAAGTGTCCGATGATTTTGTTGCTTTTTTGGCCAGAAGATTGAATCTACCCACAGACGCATTGCACCAGATTCACATGCTGCTTGGAGAGCCCACAGCACTTCAACGTGCTGGACTACCGGCAGATGCCCAGAGATGCTTTCGTGCTGTCCACACCAGCACACACTTCTGGATGGATGGACAGCAGGATGTATCAAGAACCACCATTGGTACGAGACCAGGCGATTGCATGGCAGACATTGTGTTTGTGTACGCGTGGGCATGTGTTTTGCACAAACTGCAAGATCATATGCGGCAAGATGGATCACTCTGCCACTTTACTACACATGAACACTTGCCTATGTTTGGACACTTTCCTTCACAGGATGCTTCGTCGCCATTCCTAGGGCCAACTTGGATGGATGACTTGGCCGTATGTGTCAAGGCACAGACACCAGAGACACTTCTGCGGCAGGTGACCATTGTAGCTGGACAGCTTTTAGATTTGTGTGAGTTCCACTGCATGCATCCAAATCTTGGTAAAGGCAAGACAGAACTGATGCTCACCTTTAGAGGTGCACGGTCTCGCCATCACCGCATCAAGTTCTATGGACCAAATGCCCCGAAAGCAGTGCCCATCGTGAGAGAAAATGGAGTTAGCAACATCCAGCTTGTTTGCCGATACAAACACCTTGGCAGCATCTTGCACCACACTGGCGACCAGACGGCAGAGATCAGGCAGAAAGCTGCACAAGGACACGCTGCCTTCAATCAGCACCGCAAGATTCTGTACCAGAACCCTCAGGTCAGTTTGCCCAAGCGGGCTGAACTTTTCCAGATGTTAGTGCTCAGCAAATTCCTTTATGGAGCAGAGACGTGGATTGCTCTTGATGACCGCACCATGCAAAAGTTTCATGCCAGCATCATGCGCCTCTACAAACGCCTGTTACCAACACAAGGCGGACATGACCATATCACGGATGACGAGGTTCTTGCTCGTGTTGGACTTCTCAGTCCCTTGGAACTTTTGCACAGAGCCCGACTTCGGTATTTCACTACGCTGGTTCACTGCCAACTGGATGATGTTTGGGGCCTTTTTGCGACGGACCACCACTGGATCGCCACGCTGGAAACGGCAATGGTCTGGATGTGGGAACAACTACAACGGTCGTCCCGATTGCAAGACCCCAGGACATCCTACATGTCATGGTTGCAGTTGATACAAAACAGCCCCAAATATTGGAAGCGATTGATTCGCAGGGCATGCGACCACTGCATCAAGCAGAGAGAGAAACGAGTACAAGTTCAGGCTTTCCATCAGGATGCCCTGAAGAGACTCGAGATGGCATGTCCACAATTATCAGCTCTCCAGCATGCCAATGAGGAGACTGAGAATGGTGCAACCCACACGTATGGATGCATGAAATGCCAAGTCAAATGCCGCAGCAGAGCTGGTGAAGCTGCACACATGTTCAAACGACATGGACAGGTATCGCGCTTGCGGAAGTTGTTTGCCCAGCCCACCTGCGCTGCCTGCATGAAGTTTTTCCACACCAATACCAAGATGAAAGCGCATCTCTACTACTCTGAGCGCTGTCGACGATGGCTTGAAAGTTCCAATGTTGCATGTGAGGTTGTTCCCGGCACGGGCTCCCAAGAAGATCGGGCCCGAGAAGATGTCCATGACAGAGTACTGCCTCCTCTACAAGAGCATGGACCTCGACCGGCCAGCCCACGGCAGAGGGACGTCATTGAATACAACGAGATCATCTACGATTTTCTGATCGATGAGATCACGAATAAGCCTGACCTCAATGACTTCAGGGAAAGTGCCAGAACATGTATCCTTGATACAGCAGTCTCTTGGACTGACCTCAGATCTACGCTCCGGTTCCTACTGGAGACGACTGACAATGAAGATGCAGAGGTTTTTGGATTTGACATCACGATCCTTCGCGCCTATATCGAGGAGATCATGGAGAAGCACTTCTGGGACTTTTTGCAATCTTCCAGCGTGCCAACTGGGAAGCTCAAGAGCGTTGCCATGTATGAGACAAGGTGCGAAGAGATTGAATATCACTTCCAACTGCATGGCTATGAGCACATTCCACGCCAGTTTGGACGACACCGAGTTTTATTACATGCGTACTCAGGAAGAAGGCGCATCGGGGACCTTCAATATTACGTTGACCTGCTTGCTGCCCCAAGAACTGTGTACATTGTACATGTCGTATCTCTCGATATAGTTGTCAATGCCACATGGGGCGACGCCTCCAATCCCACCACAAGGGCATACTGGATTGGAGCTGTTCGTGCCAGACATGTGATGGCCTTTGTTGGCGGACCGCCATGCGAGACCTGGTCGCGAGCACGCGGCCGACAGGATCCAACGCAAGGCGAAGAAGAAACTGGACGTGGGTGCAATCCAAGAGTGCTGCGAGATGTGCTGCAACTCTGGGGGTTCGAACAGACGACTCTCAGGGAGATCCAGCAGATCATCATGGGCAATACCCTTCTTTGCTTTGCACTTTGGGTTGTCATGGAGCTAGCGCTGACTGAGGGCTTTGCAGTGCTGGAACACCCAGCAGAACCAGAAGACGATCCAAAACTGGCGTCTATCTGGCGTCTTCCTTTTGTACGCATGCTACTAGCGTTGCCACATGTACAGAAGGTTAGATTTGCACAGGGCCTGATGGATCCTTTGCTCCCAAACCTACGCATTTGCTGGTTGTGAACCTTCCTGATTTGCTCTCGGAACTTCACCGCAACCGTGTCCGTACTGAACTGCCAAATGCGCAGGCAATCGGACGAGACACTGAGGGCAGATGGAAGACTACTGTGCTTAAGGAATACGCCCCTGCCTTTTGCAAAAGCATGGCAAATGTTCTCATCAGAGCCAGTGACGCATGTCCAGTCAACGCTCAAATGCCGGAACCTCCGATGGATTTCATCCAATGTTGTAAAGAAATGACCTGTACGGAGTACGGTCAGCATATCGGAGCCGATTTTGCATTTTGACGTTTGACTAGGAGAATTCATTTCTGACAGCTAGGCCGCGACGAACAAGTCTCTCTGTGCCACAGCCAAAAATATTCCTATATATTGCAATCTACCGACATGTCCCAACATTGCACCCCAGACTAGAGGGTCTAAAGTGGATGAAGATTAGCCATTTTATTGACAACCTCACTCGCCATGGCCGAGCATCCCAACATTGATTCAGTTTGTGTCCGATCTGCGAAGTCATACAAGTTGCCTCTCTCTCTCTCTATAATGTATATATAAATATATACTATATATATATATATACACCCTATATATATATTATACATCTAAAAAACAAAAATGAAGTGGCAACAGAGTGATTTGAGGACCAGCTATCTATTTGACATTATCCCAAAATGATGGGGAATATGTTTTTTTTTGGTGTGTGTGTGTTGGTACGTTACAAGTCCACGACTTGACATATATTCCCACTTTATTGACAGGCTAAAAACACAGAAGCCTTAAACCTTAAATCCCATAGACTTGATGGTTTCCCTCACGTTTTGCAGCTTTGGTATCCAAATCGTTGCCCAGATATTCCAAGCGGATTTTTTCATTAACGAATTGCCACAGAGCGGGAGTGTTGTGGTTATCCACGTCTTTTCGGACACACCCGTACCGTTCAGATCGTTGTTAAGAAAAATGACACGTCCAGTTTCTATGAACTCGTCTTTTTGAAGTCTATCATACTCTATCCATATATCTGGGTAAATTATAACGACCTCACTGTGACCGAAGCCTGGAGTCATGGTTAGGATTCGGGAAATCATCCCCTTTTATGGCCGCAAGATTCAGGGTAGTGAATTATTACAATTTACCCAAATATCTAAATAAATAAATCATATATATCATTTCAAGTCATATATCTACTATTACCCAGATTTACTATTACAATTTACTTGAGTCATTTCAATTCATATCTACTCAAGGTTTGGGTTGGTCCAAATATAGTCCAAATGGCAGATCTTTCCCGACATATCAGTGTGGTTAATGGTCAAAACATCATATTCCCACATTTGGAAGTGATATTCTATTTTTTGTATTACATGTGCATAAAAAAAACAGTGATCCCTATACTTTGCCAAGTTTTTTTGTTTAAACCCCACCCCATTTTCAATGATATGAAAAGTCTATCATCATTTGCTTCATGGTTAAACTCTGGCTAAATCCTGGTTAAACTCTGGTTAAACTCTGGTTAAACTCTGGTCAAACCCTGGTTAAACCCCATGAAACCACCATGTTTCCCAGCTGTTCATTGCATGTTTTCCATAGTTTTTCCTTAGGTGAAGGATCGCGGATCAGCGTGTCGTGATGTGCTGGCGCCCAGCAGCGCACCTGGGCAATTCTGGGGATATTAGTGTTATTTATTGTATAATGCTAGTGGAGCAACAAAACAACACCAGTGTTTCAGTTGTTTTTTGTTAAAAAATGGGGATACTATGATTATTGTTTATTTTCCATAATATATGAGATAATCCTTCCCATTGACGAACTCATATTTTTCAAGATGATTCTTGCACCGATGATTACTAGGGCAATCTTAGATGGGTAGATACTATGACTACTAATGGATCTCGAGGGGATGAACGGGTTGTCATCGGGGCTGGTTGGTTACTATTCGCCAAACAAAAACATTGCCCAAATGGTGGATTTGACGAGCCTAGAGTGGTGGAATTGACCATGTGGATTTACCCACACACACACTGGAATTTAGCTGATGTAGATGACTTGGTGATTGTACACTTTGTGTTAAGCAACAAAACCAAAAACATATGATAACAACATATGGTGATCATAGTGATCGACCAGGAAAAACATGGTCGTAACACAGAAAGGTATTGGGTTTGAACTGATTTAAAAACAACATCATCTGGGCTCGTTAAAAATCAACCAATGGGGATTGATGGGGACTCAAAATGATTGTGTTCACCAACAATGTTACTGGGATCTAACTTATTTAGCTGACTAACTTGTTGCGATTTTACCATCGAAAATGGAGGCCCAAGATAATAAAAATCAATAATGGAATCTCACCGTTTAAAAATGGTCAACCCTGAAGGCCCTGAAACCACAAAATTGTGGAGGTACAATGGCCAACATGCGGACATAATGGGAATCTGATTGGGTCATGAGTCATAGTGGGATGTAATACCAGTAGTACCCGCACGAGGCGGGGCGGAAGTTGCCTTAAAGATATATATAAGACCTTTCTCATCTATAGAACTTGCATGCGCCGTGCGCCAGCCATGCGTGCGTGCACTCTGCGAAAGTTGTGTCCTGCTTCACATGTCACATGTGAAGCTCCACTTCGCACTTCCCACTTCTCACTGCAGTCTTCACACTCCGCACTTCACACTTCACACTCCACACTTCACACTGCACTCTTAAGACTCCACACTTCACACTCCACACGTCACACTCCACACTTCACACGTCACACGTCACACTGCACTCTTCGCACTCCAAACTTCACACTTCACAGTCCACACTTCACACTTCACAGTCCACACTTCACACTTCTCACTCCTCACTGCTTTCTTCACACTCACAACTTCACACTTCACACTGCACTCTTCACGCCCCACACTTCACACTGCACTCTTCACACTCCACACTTCATCTCATCTGAGCCCTTCTCACCTTATCCCAGCTCATCTCTTCTCATCTCTTCTCATCTCTTCTCATCTCTTCTCATATGTCATTTAAGCTTTCATGAATCACTTCCCAGTACTACTACTAATCACTGTCGCAGCCTTGATGCACCCACTCCAATACGATTTACGATCTTCAGCTGCAAAATACAAGAGTATTACGTATGCAGCCGCGGCACCAAGCAACCTTGACGCAGCCATTCCAATGCGATCTGCAGAGACTCAGTTGCAAAACACAATAGAATTACGCGCAACGGCATCGGAAACTGCAGCTCCAAAACCGGATCTCGACGCCAAAGCGGAAAAAAGACGATTTTGAAGCACTTTTTAAAAGGATTTTTAAAAGGAAAATCACTAGCGCCAAAATGGAGAAAATCTGCTGACAAAGCCATTTCGCAGCCTGGATGCAGCCACTCCAATACGATTTACGATCTTCAGCTGCAAAAGACAAGAGTATTACGTAGGCAGCCGCGGCATCAATCAACTTTGACGCAGCCATTCCAATGCGATCTGCAGTGACTCAGTTGCAAAACACAATAGAATTACGCGCAACGGCATCGGAAACTGCAGCTCCAAAACCGGATGGATCTCGACGCCAAAGCGAAAAAAAGACGATTTTGAAGCACTTTTTAAAAGGATTTTTAAAAGGAAAATCGCTAGCGCCAAAATGGAGAAAATCTGCTAACAAATCCACTTCGCAGCCTGGATGCAGCCACTCCAATACGATTTACGATCTTCAGCTGCAAAAGACAATAATATTACGCATGCAGCTGCGGCACCATGCAACATTCATGCAGCCATTCCAATGCGATCTGCAAACACAAACTCAAGAAACGCATAGAACTACGTACACAGGAACATCCAGTGTTACAAAACACATTGAAGGAACGAAACGACCCCAGCCGCACCCGCCGCACAGACGAGGTACCTTTCATCGTCGCCTGCAGCCACTTTACACGGAAAAACACAAGGTTTCGTGCTCCGGCTTCCTCCCCAAAACAAAGCCCATGCAACATTCATGCAGCCATTCCAATGCGATCTGCAAACACAAACTCAAGAAACGCATAGAACTACGTACACAGGACCATCCAGTGTTGCAAAACACATTGAAGGAACGAAACGACCCCAGCCGCACCCGCCGCACAGACAAGGTACCTTTCATCGTCGCCTGCAGCCACTTTACACGGAAAAACACAAGGTTTCGTGCTCCGGCTTCCTCCCCACAACAAAGCCCATGCAACATTCATGCAGCCATTCCAATGCGATCTGCAAACACAAACTCAAGAAACGCATAGAACTACGTACGCAGGAACATCCAGTGTTGCAAAACACATTGAAGGAACGAAACGACCCCAGCCGCACCCGCCGCACAGACGAGGTACCTTTCATCGTCGCCTGCAGCCACTTTACACGGAAAAACACAAGGTTTCGTGCGCCGGCTTCCTCCCCACAACAAAGCCCATGCAACATTCATGCAGCCATTTCAATGCGATCTGCAAACACAAACTTCAAGAAACGCATAGAACTACGTACACAGGAACATCCAGTGTTGCAAAACACATTGAAGGAACGAAACGACCCCAGCCGCACCCGCCGCACACGAGGTGCAGCCACTTTACACGGAAAAACACAAGGTTTCGTGCTCCGGCTTCCTCCCCACAACACATATGCAACCATGCAGCCACCAATGCGATCTGCATCAAGCGCATAGAACTACATTGTTGCAAAACACATGCAGCCACTTTACACGGAAAAACACAAGGTTTCGTGCAGTTCAAGAACCGCATAAGAACTACGCACACAGACACAACCACTCGTTGCAAAACACATTGAAGGAACGAAACGACCCCAGCCGCACCCGCCGCACAGACGAGGTACCTTTCATCGCCGGCTGCAGCCACTTTACGCGGAAAAACACAAGGTTTCGTACTCCGGCTTCCTCCCCAACACAAAGCCCATGCAACATCATGCAGCCATTCCAATGCGATCTGCCACCACAGCTTCAAGAAACGCATAGAACTACGCACACAGGAACAACCACTCGTTGCAAAACACATAGGAGGAACAATTCGCGACAGAAACGACCGCAGCCGCAACCGCCGCACAGACAAGGTACCTTTCATCGCCGGCTGCAGCCACTTTACACGGAAAAACACAAGGTTTCGTGCTCCAGCTTCCTCCCCAACACAAAGCCCATGCAACATCATGCAGCCATTCCAATGCGATCTGCAAACACAAACTCAAGAAACGCATAGAACTACGCACACAGGAACAACCACTCGTTGCAAAACACATAGGAGGAACAATTGGCGACAGAAACGCCCGCAGCCGCAACCGCCGCACAGACGAGGTACCTTTCATCGCCGGCTGCAGCCACTTTACGCGGAAAAACCCAAGGTTTCGTACTCTGGGTTCCTCCCCAACACAAAGCCCATGCAACATCATGCAGCCATTCCAATGCGATCTGCCACCACAGCTCCAAGAAACGCATAGAACTACGCACACAGGAACAACCACTCATTGCAAAACACATAGGAGGAACAATTCGCGACAGAAACGACCGCAGCCGCAACCGCCGCACAGACGAGGTACCTTTCATCGCCGGCTGCAGCCACTTTACACGGAAAAACACAAGGTTTCGTGCTCCGGCTTCCTCCCCAAACATAGCCCATGCAACATCATGCAGCCATTCAATGCGATCTGCCACCACAGCTTCAAGAAACGCATAGAACTACGCACACAGGAACAACCACTCGTTGCAAAACACATAGGAGGAACAATTCGCGACAGAAACGACCCCAGCCGCACCCGCGCACAGACGAGGTACCTTTCATCGTCGCCTGCAGCCACTTTACACGGAAAAACACAAGGTTTCGTGCTCCGGCTTCCTCCCCAAAACATAGCCCATGCAACATTCATGCAGCCATTCCAATGCGATCTGCAACCAGAGCTTCAAGAACCGCATAGAACTACGCACACAGACACAACCACTCGTTGCAAAACACATAGGAGGAACAATTCGCGCACAAAACGACCGCAGCCGCACCCGTCGCACAGACGAGGTACCTTTCATCGTCGCCTGCAGCCACTTTACACGGAAAAACACAAGGTTTCGTGCTCCGGCTTCCTCCCCACAACAAAGCCCATGCAACATTCATGCAGCCATTCCAATGCGATCTGCCACCACAGCTTCAAGAACCGCATAGAACTACGCACACAGACACAACCACTCGTTGCAAAACACATAGGAGGAACAATTCGCGCACAAAACGACCGCAGCCGCACCCGTCGCACAGACGAGGTACCTTTCATCGTCGGCTGCAGCCACTTTACACGGAAAAACGCAAGGTTTCGTGCTCCGGCTTCCTCCCCAAAACATAGCCCATGCAACATTCATGCAGCCATTCCAATGCGATCTGCCACCACAGCTTCAAGAACCGCATAGAACTACGCACACAGACACAACCACTCGTTGCAAAACCCTTATAGGAGGAACAATTCGCGCACAAAACGACCGCAGCCGCACCCGTCGCACAGACGAGGTACCTTTCATCGCCGCCTGCAGCCACTTTACACGGAAAAACACAAGGTTTCGTGCTCCGGCTTCCTCCCCACAACAAAGCCCATGCAACATTCATGCAGCCATTCCAATGCGATCTGCCATTCCTCACCACTTCCCATCGTCACCACTTCCCTTCCTCACCACTTCCCATCGTCACCACTTCCCTTCCTCACCACTTCCCATCGTCACCACTTCCCTTCCTCATCACTTCCCATCGTCAGCAATTCCATCGCTTCTCACTTCCCTTCCTCATCACTTCCCATCGCCACCACTTCCCTTCCTCACCACTTCCCATCGTCACCACTTCCCTTCCTCACCACTCCCCTTCATCACCACTTCCCTTCGTCACCACTTCCCTTCCTCACCACTTCCCTTCCTCACCACTTCCCGTCGTCGCCACTTCCCGCCATCACCACTTCCCTTCCTCACCACTCCCCTTCATCACCACTTCCCTTCGTCGCCACTTCCGTAACTCGGAAGTATTGCTTCCCAACTTCCTTTGATTAGATTATGTATTGTTATATTATGTATTGTTATATGATCTACCACCCTTCCTCAAGGTCAATTTCATAGCTTCTTATTCTTTTGTTATGTATTGGTACATTATGTATTGTTATATTATGCATTGATCTACCACCCTTCCTCAAGGTCAATTTCATTGCTTCTTATTCTTTTGTGATGTATTGGTACATTATGTTTTGTTATATTATGTATTGTTATATGATCTACCACCCTTCCTCAAGGTCAATTTCATTGCTTCTTATTCTTTTGTGATGTATTGGTACATTATGTATTGTTACATGATCTACCACCCTTCATCATAGTCAATTGCACCAAGTAAAAGTCATTCGTAACTCGGAAGTATTGCTTCCCAACTTCCTTTGATGATGGGAAGGAACTGGGATATGACTTTACGTCTAACCGTCTAACCTAGTGGTGTGGCAGTCAATTGGCCAGTTTGGTTTACAACATGCAAGTGGGTTTCCTCTCCATATGGTTCTTGAATGATGGAAACATATGGAAACTATGTCGAATCGAATACTTTACGCCGCCGGTCGCAAGGTAACTCCCCTGCGTTTGCTCTACATCTTGGAACGTGCAGGCAGATATCGATGGGAACTGGGCGACCGAAACTATTTTCATGATGGGAATCTAAGTGAGCCATGAACAAATATCATCGTTGATTGTTTGTGATAAGGGGTTATGTATATACTACCTTATTTAGTGGGGATGATCGTCCATAGGACGGGATAGGGGCATATAAATTTGTTCATGGTTCAACGATGACAGGACATTTCTATAGATTGGGATATAGTAGTATAAGTAGTATATCAATTTGACCTGGATAAATTGGTTTACGACCTTCAGCCGGTCACGACGTCACTTTTTTGAAATGATGGAATTCGGATTTTCAGTGAGTTATCCGTTCATGGCCGAACCTTGATAAAAAAAAGTGAATTGCTATAGTGGAAATCCAGAACAAAAACCGATGTGATTCATTATTATAAGATGCAATTTCCTGATTCATGGGACATCTGCAAATTAGCCAGATGGGTTGTCTTTGTCGTTGGCACCTCTGTAATAAATTCAACAGAGCAAGCAAGTTGAGGAAGAATAACATCTTGTTTTAGATACAACAACTTAGAAGTATGAACACGTTTTATCCAAGTTTAAGTTGTTGATAAAACAGGATGATCATGTCCTGTTTTTCGTCACTATGAGCCTCGTTGGGGCTTTCCCAAGAGTTGCTGGAAAACATTCCACCCATCGCATGGCATTTGAATTCACCATCCATCCGTGTTTGGCCCGGTGTGGTGAAATGAACTAAGCCATACTTTTGTAGCTAATAGGGGTCACTAATATGGCACTTAACTAGTGTGGATAGAGAACTTATATGGCACTATATTGTGGTTATGATCTGGCCCTATCTCAAGCAACTCATATAATGAGAAGGGATAGGGGATGATAGGCTATTTTTATGTACCCTCTGGTTATGACTAACATAGCCATGGAAGCCATGGCCCATAGAAATAGATGATTGTCCCAGCTATAAACCTCCATTTATGGTTGGGATTTTCCATGGCTATGTTAGTCATAACCAGATGGTATTTTTATTGGCTCATTCGGCGACATGGCGACGTGACGTCTCGCTTTTTTCTGTGAAGGCATCGGGATGAACTTCGAGTTGGATGAGCTGCTCGGAGTTTTTGGAGGATATCAATGAGCGATGGTTCATGAAATGACCTGTAAAATGGCCAAGCAATGACTTTAAACTGCATCTTTGTTAATGATGTTAGTTTCTGAAAAATGATTATGAAGTGACTTTGAACACGCTTCGATGGAACAAAAACAACTATTTGACTCTATTTGATGCTATTTGGCCAATGATTCTGATCGGTCAAATGGATTCAAATGGCACATGTGCTAATCAGCCTTGTGCATGCAAACAAACAGTTACATGGAGAGCTACAGAGAAAACAGATGAAGCAAAGAATTACTCCTGGTGTGGGGCACCCAAGTCACTATTATGGTTAAAAACCATCCAACTGATGCACCAAATACAGTAGTTAGAATGTGAACATTGAAAGGTTTTTCGAACCTTTGGAGGAGACTCTGTGTACAAACATATCTAGCCCAAGTCTTCAAAGAATTGTGCATAATTACATTTTGCAATACAGTTGTGATGTGTAAAAAAGCATTTTTACGCGCTGACACTATCGCTTGCCCAAGAATTCAAAGGCCACAACATGTACATATAGCTTAAGATAACTATGAATACATGTTGATCCGCATAACATGATCATATATGTTGGGATATTGATCATACCATACGGATTCAAGTATAGATGCATGGAAATTGTATCATGATTGGATACATATAATACCATGTGGGGTCTCTGTTCTGTTTTAACAGCCAATTAATTAATCATGCTGATTCAATCTTCATCCATATCTGAAGTTCATGGCAACATTGACACTTCGCCGTGCCGCAGTAACATACAGTCGCGACCCAAGGGAATGAAGGCTTAGCAGCTCTTGTTGGATTGGCTCACCCCAGCAGAGCGGGCCCGTCTCACCCGCGCAGCAAATTGCCTGTATGATTATAAGATTACCATCTTCCCCATGACCCCTGAAAGATACATATCATTACTACCATTTACTGTAGGTTGGGGGGGTGGGGGGGTATCCTGATTGTTTCTCATCATTGCAAGCCGGATTCTTCCCCATGACCCCTGTTTGATACATATCATTACCGTTTAGGTTGGGGGGTTGGGGTGTCATCCTGCTCGTTCATCATCGTTACATGATGACGACGACGGCGACGATGATGATGATGATGATGGTGATGATCATGATGGTGATGATGATGATGGTGGTCATGATGATGATGATGATCATGATGACAATGGTGATGATGATGATGATGGTGATGATGATGATCATCATGATGATAATGACGATGATGATCTTTCCTGGTCCGGGCAAACGATCGCGTTTGACCGTAGTTTTACCAAAAGTAAATACAATCTAAAATTCATTAGATCCACTACCCATGTTCAAAAGGTCTATATACATGAAGATAGGTTTAGTACGTATAATTCTTGATTATATATATATATAGTGTAAATATAAGTGTTAAAAATAAACTGCCCTTTGGCAACCCAATGGTTTTTTTATACAACCCAAATATTGAGGCTCCATTTTTTGGTGGTTACCTTTACTACTGTCAAACACATGTCAACACTTGAGTGCAACAATAATCTTAATATAAAACTTTCTAAAACCCAATGATTTTTCTGCCAGTTCTTCGTGAAACATAATTCTGGTAATGAGAAAAGATTCCTATCCACTCTGCGAATCATGAGCTTTGGCCCTTCCGTTTCACAGCGTGAGAGATGATAAAAGAAACACACCAAAAACTGGCAGCCTGGTGAACATCTAACTAGCACATCGATGCTTAACAAAATATTTCAGATAGTGTATCCCCATTCACCATCATATTTCCACTAACTATACAATAAAACAGAATCCTAAGCAATGAGTGGCTTAGATGTTCACCATTGTTGTAGAGGCCACATATTCCAACTTATGGATGTGAATAGGATAATAACCCAATTTTTTGGGTGATTATCAGTTATCATTATCATTATCATTATCATGTATCACCGCCCAAAATGGTAAAATGGCCCTAATGGTTAAACTTACCACCACTCAAAACTGGCTGGTGGCTTGGAACTTTTTTAATTTTCCCATATATTGGGAATAATCATCTCAACTGACAGACTTTCATATTTTTCAGAGGGGTAGGTCAACCACCAACCAGATATATAATGATATATAATTAATCATCATTCACCACCACTAATCATCATTAATCACCATTAAAACACCATTAAATCACCAAAAAATCATGTTTTCGCCCAGGTCCGGGCACCCTGCGGAGTCCTCCGTGCAGGTCTTCATGCCGCAGCCCGGCGGAATGGGCCGTAGGGGACGAGAGTGACATTTCACTCAGCAAAAATGGAGATTTTTCATGATTTACTGAGTGATAACCAAACAGATTAAAAATGATTTAAGAAAACCAAACATGATTTAAGATGATTTACTATAAGATTCATCGAAAATAGTGATTTCACCAGCGAAAAATACGGAAATGTAAACTGCAAAATTGGGATTTACCGCAGTTAATCATAGAAAATGTTGATTTAGCCAGCATAGAGTTCATATACACTGGGCCCCATCCTTTTATAGAAAATCAAAACCGCATATTTGTTCCCTTCAACTACACTATCGTTGAGGCCTTGTTTTGGGTTCCGCTTGAGAGCATGAAATAGAGATTTATATATATATATAGATGCAGGAAAAACGGGGGTTTAACTAGTACAAAACGATTGTTTGCGGCTTTAGTCGGTCTTTTGAACAGCAGCAAGATGATGGTTTGAGATATAGTTTCTAGAAACATGATTTTTGAACGAACATAGATGGGACAGATCATGGAGGGTAGAACCCAAGTAATTATATCCAGGTGTCTTCCCCACTTTCTGTGAAAAGATGTTTGTTTCCCTTGGTGAAATGAGGGTCAACATCCAGTGGAACTGAACACAAACTGGTTGCCAGTTTATCCCTCAGGTAGTTCCGCCAGCAAATCTCAGGATTTTGGATGGGTATGTTACTAGTTGGCTTTGTTGTTGTTTGCGTATACATGTAGAAACAGAACATGTTTTTCATATAGATACAGTCGAATATAGAAACATCATATACCAGGTTGAGAAAATATGGCAATGCTGACCAGATGTGTTTCATGAAAATGCAGATATTGTTGGATGTTGAATGTCACCCTCATCTTGAATTTTAAATATGTTCATGTTTGATCCCTGAAAACATGTCGATGATCTGGCATGATGCGTCCTTACCCACCGATGCGGGGATTTTGAAACAATGCAACGCTGCGTATGGTGGGATGTTAAAAGTATGGTGGGATGTTAAAAGTCAACAAATTTGGGTGGTGTTTCCGGTTACAAAGGTAAGTACATACGTATGGAAAAAAAAGACTCATCACTTAAGATATCTTAAGATGCGTAAGCGGTTTATCCCCATTAATGTCATACTAAATTCGACGGTATATTATACTATATTCTATTAGGTTTTATTACATTATATTCTGTGATATTCTATTATGATATATTATATTATGATATATTATATAGTGTAGTTGTTTCTATGAAGTCATTCAGTATCATATACGTAATACTATATATAATATTATATTATAATTGAATACTATATCATAATTATCATATAATATGATATTGTAATTGCATTAATAGGTTATTGTACTATATTTAATGTTTATTAAGTTCCAATCATCAACGGTTGGCCGAGGACAACTTCAACGCCTGAGTGAGCCCAAGGGGCCCAAGGGGATGGGAATGATGGGAATCATGGGAGGAGGGGCTATGAAGCAACGAATCAGTCCCGGGATTTAGGAAATATACCCTCTGGTTATGTCAAAATAGCTATTGAACATGACAATTTATAGTGGATTTACCCATTGATAGCATGGTGGATCTTTCCAGTTTGTTATTTAAACGTTTACCAGAGGGTAAAGGGACTGATTCAGGGATTTCATCCATCAATAGGGATTTCAACTAGGGATTTTTGCGGGATTTCAGGGATTTTTGAAGTTTAATGAAACATACACTTTGACATTCAACATTGTTGGATCCTCGCGTTAAAACATGTTGAATCATGGTTAAATCATTGTTAAATCCTCATTTTCTTTTGCAACGCTCACATTTTTCAATCATGTAAATCCTCATTTCTCATGGTCAAATCATGGTCAAATCATAATGATGCTTTTTTTCACCCAGATGTTTTTTTAAGCATCATTGTGAAATGATTATCGTCGAATCTGGAGTTAAATATTATGAAATTATGATGGTCAAATTAATCATCAAATCATCATCATGATGGTTAAATCATGGTTTTTTCCAGATGTTCCATCATTTTCCCCCTTTTTTTCGTGGTTTTTTTTGGATCAAAAACTCCCCAAAAAGGTACTGCGAGATCTCGGACTTTCTTCCGGCCAAGCCTGGGGGGCCAAGCATGCGCTAAGCCGCTGTGATTATGGGGTGGTTAGAAAAAAAAACATTGGTATGTGGGGATGGGTCAAAACCTATTAGTATCAATTTTTAATGGGATGAACATGATGAACATCCATAAATCCCAGCTGTTTTGTGGTTCACGAATGGTACCAGGGTTATGACTCATAGCCATGTAATTCAAAGGAATTGCTTGAAGTAACCATAAGTAACCCATGTTTTACTTTTTTTCTGGTTTATAGTTATTGGTTTCTAATGATGAGAACTATGGCTAAACAAAGCACACATCTATATATGGGTTATGTCATTGCCTTCTAATGTTATAAGTTATAGCTATGGTTAAGAAAAAATGAATGGTTATTTTGATTATTGGCCTCTAAGTTTATAACTATGGTTAGTCAAATATGTATATACATGAGTTTAAAATCGTTTATAATATACAACGTCATGACTATGCTTAGAAGACAAACAACTCTCTGGAAGTGAATAGTTTATCTATAAGATGTGGCTGAAGGCATCTTTCGGGTTATACATGGTTTGCGCTGTTTACTAAACTATGAATATTTATCATGTGTCTTGCGCGAACTGGTAATGTGTTACACTTGTGGAATTGTTACCATCGAACTGAATGGGTTATGAAGTGACAACGAGATGGTTAGACAAAAGATATATTTAATGAATGGTTTTTATAAGTCTTATATGGTTAACCATCTAGTTATATATTATATGTTTTTTTTTAACTAACCATTACTATATGGCTTTTATAAGTCTTATATGGTTAGTTCAAACAAAAACACATATAGGAGGTTATGGGAGCCTTTATCAAACCAGCATCTGGGTTATGGATATGTGTATATATATATATATTGAAGTAGATTGACTATCGAAAATTTGGTGATTAACCTTGATTGGCGTTATTAGCGTGTATGTTTTTTATTAATGTATATGCGTTACTCACGCTCATTGGC